CTCCGGTCACCCAGAGACTCTCGCGGGAAGCAGATTCACGGAGTTTCTTGGGTAATGTTTTTCGAGAAGTTTTCTGTTTCTTGTATAGGGTCTATCATTCTATACAAATACATGGATTCGTCGAAAGAAACATAGTAGTATAATATTCCTCGAATAAGAAACTTGGTGATCATTGGACGATTCAAGGTTAGCAGATATCCCATCTCCAACCTTCTTATTCACGCGTTTAAGGATAGGTTATCCATCGATCAAGCGAAGACAGAACGTAACGACGTTCGGATGAATGTTGCGTTTGAAAAGTATACGGGGAAACATGAATTTCATAGGTTTTTTCAAAAAGAAAACCCCCCTCCGGTACATGTGTTCGCACCTCCTACTCACCGATCACAGCCGACGTTTCACCTTCCATCATCGTCGTCCCACGGGCGATCGCCAGGAAACCGTTCGATAGAAAAGATCATCGTTCCCGGGCACGAAAATAGATGCCGCCGTGCAGCTTCGAATACATCATGCTGTTCTTTGGACGCGCGGCTGGTTACATTGAAACTTCCATGAAGCCAGCCGATTGTTTTTCGTGGCAGCCAAGATTAACGCCCCCTCCCCTCCGTGCACCGGCGATGTATTAATGACGCAGATGATGGAGCGGCACAATGATCGTCGACGTACTTACACGCGTTCACCTCGCCCCGTATACCCTACCCATCGCCCTCGTACTAATTATCACAGCTGTCGGGACCCCGTCGCTTCTTGATCGAGCAGAGATGTTAACCGCGGATCGACGACCATTCACACACGACAAATACACTTTATTTTACCGTTTCCACGGAATACAGTAAATCCTCGATGAGTATTCGAAGACTCCTCGGCACTGACAATGAGAGGTCCCCAGGTGTAAGCATGACTTTTTAATAATGTTCAAGACAGTGATAGAGCTTGGAATTCTGGAGCCAATGATATTTGTTTCAGCCGCATATGACCATTAGTTTATAAAATATATAATGTTCAATGCCGAGGAATTTTCGAACAGTCATCGATGTTTTACTGTAACGCGTAAATTCCTCGAGTACACATTTCCCGTAGTCTCGCCTTGATCATAATGATCATGCACCATCTACGTTCCAAAGCGTCCTCGTGGAAATAACTCTCGAAAATGACTGGCCGAAACGTCGTTACACGTTCGTCCGGTTAAGATCCAAGAAAGATAAAGCTTAAAGATCCTCTCTCTATCGTGCGTGCGATCGCGTACTGGACGGGGAAGTGTATCCCCCTGGATGACCCCTGCAACAAGGTATTCGGCGACACTAACGAGCAGAATCGATCGGATGTGTTCGGTGTGTTTACCCCGTGCACCGAGCCCGAAGATGAGCGGGGGCCCCTTGTGTACAAGGGATTTGCATAGGTCGAACACGAGCCTGAACCTCGGACGCTCTTAGGCGTAGCTTGGCCATGACGATGGGTAGCGTGTCCCCTCGAAATTGATGCCTGTCGCGAAATTGCATCGTCGTAAGCGTAATGTTCGGTAAAACGCGTAATCGACCCCATCCTTTGCTCGTAAAGCACCGACCGTCCTTCGTTGGGGGATGATGATGGAACGACGCGTTGGTATGTCGCTTTCCTTTGGACTCGGGAGAAAAGGATACGGGAAACGTCTGATTTTCACTTATCATTCGAGTGAATACCTTCGAATTCCTTGGAATTATCTCTATTTTATCGCCCAGCATGATTGTCCATACGTCATCAATCTATGGGGATGCTTCAACTTCTATATGGTATTAAAAGAAACTGTCCTTTCGTTCGTTTCGTTTTAGGTGTTCTTACATTTGTTGGATTACTTTCGAAATAAGAATTTCGGGACTTTGACTTGATTCCTGTTCTAGATACTGCAGCGAGAGACTATTTATAATTTCCTTTAACTTACTCCGTTTGAATTTGTACACTACCAGACAAAAGTATAAGACCAGGTCTGATAATTCAAGAAGGAGAAAAATATTATTCGGCGAAGATTTAATGAATGTAATATGCTAAATCTGATGGGAAAGTATTTGTACATATATGTACTGATCCCCTGACTTATTATATCGTAACAGAATAATAATTTATTGCTCCATTAATCATAATCTTTAGTCCCACGCTTTTGGCGGTAGTGTATATCATTCCGAAAGCGTCGCGCATAAATTTTTATCGACCCGTTTCACAGATGTATTCGTCCTGATTTCCATCGGTTCCAGTTCCTCGATCGCAACGATACTCTGGTCCGGGCCCCGCGAATCAATTTCGTCGATCGCAATCGATAACCACACGGTCCCTGTAACGTGCAATCTGTCCCGGCGTGTAATTACGCGGTGGGCCCGTTTAATGATTCTTAAGCGACGATTACTGATTATTGATTACGTACGAAACCGCGGGTCCTTCGGGTCAAATTGAAGACCGAGCGACGAACGGTTCTTATCGATCGTAATTATTATCCGACTTTTTTTCTTGTGACCAACCGTCTATTTAACGCACTGATTTTCATAATATTCATTCATAATATTGAAAAATATCGGTTGAATCTTCCACAGGAATGTATGAAATTTTAGTTTCACTTAATTTTCAACTGGGCACCGTGCTTTTACGAAAAAACAATTATTTAATCGATTACAAAAATTAGATCAAGTCAGATAACTCTGATCGGTTCATAAGAAGAATTTCGTTTGATATGGCTCTTTTGAATAAAAGGAGCTTCGTGTTTTGCCGTGGCGCCTCCAAAAGAATTATGTCGCTATTTGCTACTTTTAGATCGTCGGTTCTTGAACGAGAAGAGGGTGGCTCCTTCGTAGATCACGATTATGATCGTGACTAAGAATTCTGTCGTAGGAGCGTCGCTGCGGGGCCCCGTGATTAATTACAACGCAAATATTTTCCTTCGACACGATAAGATCCATACGAACCGTCTACTTTGGTTACAGCTGACTGTTCGGTGACTCGCGGGGATGGAATTTCAGACATTCCATGCCGCAGTCTCCCCTAAGTCGTACAAAAATAGTCCGCCGATATTACACGTGGCGAGTTCGACTATCGACGATGCACGTGTTTCATTCTGATTTATCCATCGACAAACCTGAATCTTTCGTAGAAATTCTAAATCTATTGAAATTACCAAACGAGAACTGATTATTTTTCATTTGCATTCTGTCCAAAGTGCATCTCTCCATTACGTCAGATAGGCGTTACAGTTTGAGAAAAGTCCGGGGAACCAGGACAGAACTGGGAATCGGGAAATGATCGAGTATGTTCTTATTGGTTACGGTTTGCGTACAAAATGGCTGCGGTAAAAGTGAAAATAACAGAACGTCGAGACCTCGACAAGGCGGGCGTTAACTCACCGACTTTAGGAGTTTGTTATTTCGGTTTTGGCGTTAACTCCCGCGCAGTCAACGACAAGAGACATTCGCCAGACCACCCTGAAATCTTTCTACCCTGTCGTGATCAATCGGGACTTCCTTCCTCTATCTCTGCGCCCGAAAATAACCGTAACACGAGATATTGCGACATCCTGTGACGTAAGATTTTCATGGTGCAGGCTTATTTGTAGTATACCTCGTTGGACTCCATGCACCACTGGAGATTCGGTAGAGAATCCACGCAGACCATCTTCCGCTTCGTTCCTATTGACCCAAAACTGTGTTTTGCCGATCTCCCGATTGGAACTCCGGCTCTTCGAATTCCAGTTGATTCTCGACCGCTCTACAATATTGCATTCTTCCCTTCTTTACAGAAACATTCTTTGCAACACAATGATCTATCGATCCCTGCGCCAATACAATCATTCAAATCCAATCCGAATTTTATTTGATACGAAAAGAAATTCTCCAATCGATTACACTATCGGCGATTCCTCTCCTTCCAGTTGGTATGGCGTAAACAAAAATGTCTACCGCGTCCTTCCGATTACAAATCAAGTTTGAATTTTTCCAAGTTCAAATGAAAAAAAAAAATACAAAGAAGGATCCTATGAACTGCGTGTACCAACGACATCCGGTAAAGGACATCACCTTGATCAAAATGAACTTAACGGAAGACGCGCACCGGCAGCGTAGCCATTAATGGCGTCCCCGCTATTGTGTCGCGGTCGCGATCGCATCGAGCACCGACGGCGAACGTTTCGCCGTGACACATCAATGGGAATAATCGCGCGGAATTCGTGTCGCCCGGACCTGGAAGAACGATCAAAAGGTCTTTACGTACCACGGTGAACGGAACACCGTGGCTTCTTTTCATCCGTCTCCCCCCTGGGTTCCCCCTGTAAGAACACTTCACAATGGACCATTCATATTCATTCTGTGACACTAATGCCTGGTCCCCGGACATAGTAAGGGCTTTATCTGCACGCTGGAACGCGGATAAGAGTCAGCCACCATTTTTTTTCCGGGTAGGAAATTCGCTCGATGACAGGCTGACGGTACCAAGCACTTAATACAGTTTCTTCCTTGACTCGAAGATCTTTTTCTGTGTGTTTCCTTCGTTATCTTCGCGATAAACTATCTGTTAAAATTACGAGGATAGTTTGATTCATAATGTATACACTATGGGCCAAAAGTATGGGATCAACGTTTATGATTGTTGGAACAATAAATTATTATTAAAAAGTCATGAAATCTATAGATATACGAATCAATTCCAATCGGATTTAGCATATTACTTTTACCAAATTTTCGTTGAATAATATTTTTGTACTTCTTTAATTACTAGACTTGGTCCTATTCTTTTGGCTGCTAGTGTAAATTCTTCTTTTTTTACGAATTCCTTTTTCTGTATCGCGGATCAGTTTGCACTTCCGGAATCTGTACAATGAGAAATTTGATTTTCATTTTGGAACATAACTGTGTTCTCTTTGGGACGAAGTGATTAGCCGTGAGTGGAGCGTTATTGCTTGGGGTTATTCTTACTTGACAGTCTAGGGTGCTTTTAAGCGCGGCAATGTTTCAAATTATAACGACACTTTATTATCGGTGTTACAGTGGCCGACGTGGTTCTTCCGACCGGAAATCCCCCTTGGCGCACCGCTGCCTACCACTCACGTGTCGAACGCCAGCACTGTCCCAACATCGTCTCCTTTATCATCCAGGACACACTCGGAGTTGCCCAAGGCTCCGGACTTCATCGATGGCAGCAAGATACACGGGCAAACTCCAACGATATGCACGGTAAGTGATTTGACATACTGTCGTCATAATTAACTTTATTGTATTCACCTGCATTTTTTGAACCTGAATTGTCTATTAATTGATGCAAAGACAGATCTTGGTTATCAACAGTCTGGTTCTCTATAACATGCAATTTTACATCATACTTCTCACAAAGTATTCTGCCTTCAACTTCAGGATCACCCCACCTATCGTTACGCATAATGTTTGCTGTATAATCATCTATAGTTTCACTACGTTGCTGGCCATCATTATGGTAACTGTTAGCAATAGAATGTACAAACCATTCTGGCGGATTGTTTTGTGTAAAGCAATATGTTAAATCACATTGAAAGTGATTTGTATATGTACTAATTCCGTTTTATTACCTATATAAGAGCTAACAAAATAGTTTTAAATTCCGAAATTCCCACTAACAAGCCCCAGAAGCCAGGAACAGGAAGTGTTGATCAATTTCAAAATAGGATCATCAAGATTACCAGAATGTTCCATCGAGGAAGTGTTTACGATCGCGTCATGATACTCTTCGGGTTCAATCTCGTTACCTTCTCTGGACTGCAGTTACACGCACGGTTGTCCATAAAATCTGCGCGTGATCAATCTAGAAAGTATCTAAGGAAGTCAAACCGCAGAACTCGGTCGTAGTATATTTACGCGTAAAAGGCGCCGCGAGAAACAGCCTGACGAGCCTCGTAAAGGCCTGAGCATACACGTAATACACGCGCCACTGTCGCGTCGAGAATCGGTCGCAAGCTGGGCCGTTGGTAATCAGCCACGGCCGACGACGTGTCGCAATTTCCTACGGGGACGTGTAATTTCATCAACGACGTCTTGTCGCCGGCAGGTGACACCGATGAAATTCCCCGGGCGTAATACGAAAGATCGGATTCTTCCGAGGCGTGCTCAGCCCCAACCGTGATGTCGTCCTTCCGAACGACACATGGCTCGCTTCCTCTTTCTCGAGGTGCGCCCCCCCCCCCTTTTTCAATGGTCTCGTTGTAGACGATGAATTATCCATCGACGTCGTTGTCGCACGAGAAATTATGTTGTCGGTACGGGGATAGGTTATGACGTTACATTGAGCTCGATCCTTGTGATCGATAATGGAGCTGCCTGTGATGTGCTGCTCGTCGAGCAAAGCAGCAGCGAGGCGGGATCGCTTTACGGTGTCGTTATTAAAATTCTTGCTCGTTCGATATTACCTTGCGATGAAATTATAAATTGATTGATCGATTGGTATCTCCGGGGACGTAAACCCGAGAAAGTAGCCTTTCAATTTTCCGGGACAAGTACCTTCCGGTCTGATAATTACGACGATAAACACGTTGACACGCGAGGAAATTTGCTCGAGATATTCAGCTGATTTGGATAACGATCGTTCTTCGACCATGACACCGTCACGAATATAATATTGTAATTCAAGAACAAGCCTTCTAATTGTACCGAATCGTTTTTGAGTCGAGGGGTTCGAACAACACCGAGCGATAAGAATTCTTCGAAAGGTATATGTATATGGTGGTTCGATCGGTTCGATTGGTCGAACCCACGAAACTAATTTTCGAGCTGCGGAAACGAGGGACGCGAGCGCGGCAAGGGTTGTTTAATGGTCGACGACATGACACAGAAAGCTGTACTCCGATCGATATTCAATTTACAGTTTTGTCACAATGGAATTGCGGTTCGTGGAAGTCGAAGCTCTCTTAAAGGGTACAGGGGTGGTAGCGTCGCGGGAGGGGTTGGGGAGGGGGGTAGACACGAGTCATTCGTCAAGATCCGAACGATGCTTACCCTGAAACGATAAAACCGCGTGGGCGTGCTCGGCTCGTTAAAGCCCCCGCTGTCGTGGCCCCCTCGTTAGCACACACCGATGTGCCCGGGCAACAAATGATTTAAATATAATACTTAATAATGCCACACGTCCACGGGTGTATTCAATGCGCTCACTTTTGTTTCTCGATTATGCATTATCCCGCCGCGTAAATCGTGTCCCGCGATATTAATGGCGCGAGCACGGGGCGAGCAGTCGCGGGCAGCGATCAATCTCGTTGTCACAATTAAATGCGCCGCAAATGCCGAGCCGAAGAATAATTTATATACGGCTACCCACGTGACGGAACGTAACCCGAGGAACAACTGTGATCGAGATCGACGTACCAGGGGCCACGTCTTGGCCACCGACAACACCGTAGGTCCTGCCTTTAGTTCGCGGCCTTTTGGTCTGTGCTACATTCACGGACAAGTGGAAAAATTCCGTTCGTTTATTCCAATATTCCAATATAAATGGGGTTGGTGGGCACAGGAAAAGTGAAAATGGTAGAAAAAAATTAGAATAGTAATAGGAAAAATTTCATTTGTTAATTAAAATATTTATATTTAAGAAAAGGTGGATACTTGTAAAAGGGTGGTAGCCACACAAAGACATAGGTTGAAATTATTGACGTCGAATCTCGATTCTCGAGCAGAATCATTCGTTTCTTCCAATTTCTCCTGTTTTCGCTTCCTCGATTCGTCAAGGAAATTTCGCGCGTGGATCGTAAGAAATCCTCGATTTTTCCATTAACCAGATTCCCTCCTGTAGTCGATACGAATCGGGTTCGCGCCGTATTCTCCATCAACATTTAAGTGTAGTTGAAACAAGCGTTCTCTATACCTAAGGTTTGATTAATTCCCGATCGCCCCGTGATCGATCTCGGTGCACGTGATTCCCTCCCAAATTAATCGCTCCTGGAACAGACCACGCTAGTCCCTGATCTCTATTTATGCTTATTTCCCGTCGGTCAATCGAAAGTCAAAAGGGACGCGTCCGTGTGGTGGCCGTCGAATCGGTGGCCGGCATCGCAAATATCGGAATCGCGTGCGGACGTAATCGATATACCCGCGAAGTAATTAGTTTCGCGAAAAACCGCGGGCCCCAAGATCGGTTTGTAAAGCTGAAACAGCGTTTCGCGTGCGATCGATCTTAACCTTTCGCACGAGGCATGCGTCTAATAGGCGCACGCATGATCTTTCTGCTCGGTTACCGTGTTGTACCAACCAACGGGCCCCGGCTTTTAATCGACGCGCGAGTTTCTCCCTCGCTGTCTAATTTGCCGTTGATTTACGATCGACTGCTCTCCTTATCCTGTGTGGTATCGTTTGGAAATGTACCAATTTCGCGTTAACCGGAGACTTGTCTTCGATTCCACGCGCGCTCACACCCCGCACCCTCGGGACCGCCTTTGTTCCGACATTTTTATCCGTAGCGACGAGATTACTTCGTCTATGTGTGTTTCCCCGTTGCGAAATCGTTGTCAGCCTTATTATCGTTCTGTCGAACGAATCGATAGAGGTGAGTCGCGGGCATGGAGGTCAGGAATTCGAAATAGTCGCCTGCCAATGCGATTTATCAACCGGTAACACGTTTAGTATTTTTTTCTTTTTTGTTGATATCGAAACACAGATTACGCTCGCAATACCTGTGGGAGAACCTGGATCTGAACCTGTACGTGCAACCTACTCGGAGAAGCCTGTCGTCCTTGTAAAAGGATAATTGTAATGTGATTTTGGTTTTCGATTTTTGGCACGTGTTGTATCTGGCCTAATATACTTTTGGAATGGAATGGATTGAAATTGGACGGGATTTTTCTGAAAACTAGCTAACGATAATACAGAAATTGAACTGGTACTGGGGTAAATATATTTTTTAAGAAAATCGGAAAACAATTCCAGGCTTATCTGGGTTAATCTATTCCTGAAGTTTAATTGTGTATCGATCGCAAAGAAAATAAGATTTCATTTCGTGTAAGGTATAATCATACGAAGTGACGGTGTAATGTAGAAGAGAGTGCACTTGAGGAGGGCTAACGTTAGGGATTAATGATACTACGACTATTTAAACGGAATGGTTGTGCCCTCGACGATACTTTGAATATTCTTTAAAACGTCATATACGATCCATTTGCTCTCCATTGATATTGTTTTGCTTCCCGGCGTTTATGCGCCGCCACCGAAGAAATACCCCCCAATTTCCCTGTTTCTACTTTTTTTTTCTCGACAATCCATTTACTCGCGTCTATGCATACACGATGTTTATCCCCCCATGGGCGCGCAGTCGTTTATTAGCGAGCGCCGTAATGCGACCTACGTCGAAACGCGCCACCGAGGAACGCTCGATTTCGTTCGCGTGAAACGCGTACATTAACGCGAGCTTATGAACAAATCGCTTGTTCCTCGAAACCCTCCAGCCAACAACTCGTTCTCGTTTTAAACGTCTTCAATTTGCCCCCTGTACTTGCGCCTCCTTAAATTTTATCCGCGCATTCGCAGGTGCACTTTCGACACCTTATTTTTTTTTCTCACACGGTTACTTTTGTTTCTTTTAAAGAACGATGATTCTCCACGTCACTTTTCATCGTTACTCTTCATTGAATGTGCACACGAGGACAGGTTCTAGGAATCAGTTAGATCGTGGTTCGCAAATCCGATAATTGGCCAGCGACCAATTTCACGGCCTCCTCTGCTGCTATTCTCCCATTTGGCGATCCACGCCCACGCGATTCCCTCGTGTTCCTACCATCCCACGAATAGTGCGCCACGAGAGTGGCGAGCTATCGGGCGGTTATAAATTTAATATTGCTCAACGACTGACTCTCGTTTTAGCGCTGGCTAATTGTAGTCGACGCGTGGAGTGCCATAACGGAAGCTAAATCGTTAGCCAGCAAGCCACGGCAATCTCGAGCGTGTTAAATGAATCAGAAACGAAGACGAACACTGTTTCAGGTCACAGATACAACGGAACAAACGAAACGATTCGTGTACCCGTTCTGCTGTAGCAAAGCGAAACAAGTTCCACCAATTCAATCAACTCTTCGAAGAGACAGAAATCACTAATTACCCAAAAAATATAAAAATACATACCAAGGAATAACGTCTTCGACGCGCTCAACGAAGTCTACCGAGAGAACAATGTCGGCCGTAGAATCCCAACCTCTACCGCTCGAATTCGCCGTCTCGCCTACTTT